AATTTGGGTTTAAATCATACTGATAATATCGCGAAAATAATTTCATCTTAGTTAGTAGTCGTCTTTTATATCTGTATATTGGAAAACATAATTTCTGAACAATAACATTTGCTCCTTCAAGAGGATTATTCTATATATTTACACAGAAAAAAATCTATTTCCAAGATAATCAAGATTGAGAATCACTCTCAAATGCAGATGTCTAATTCTAGTTAAGCACCGGCAACTAGCCAAGAAATACTACCAACAGCAGACACGGAAATGCCAGTGGACACTACTCCTCCAAGGAAACAAGAAATCCTGAGTGCGATCCAATTACTGAAGTCCGGCCGGGAAGGTAGCAGGACCAGACGGAACTCCTCCCGAGGCACTGAAGACGGCCCCGGAGATTACGACAGATGTTCTCAATCCATTACTGCAAAATGTTTGGAAAGAAGGAAAGGTACCTACTGGTTGGAAGAAGGGCTACCTCGTCAAACTGCCAAAGATGCGTGACTTAGGCTTCATTCTGCAAGAACTGGCGTAGAATTATGTTGTCCACGACAAGTAAAATAATAAGTTGCATAATCCTGAAGAGAATAAAGGATGCACTGGATATAGAACTCCACCAGCACGGAACAACCTGGATTCAGGAAAGGCAAATGGTGTGTTGATCAAATTGCACCTCTACGCATCGTCATCACAGAACGAAGCATAGAATGGAAGTCAAACCTCCCTCTACCTCAACTTCATCAACTTCGAATAGGCCTTCGACAGCGTAGACAGAAGTAATTTGGAAACTACTTCAACACTACGGTGTGCTGTGCGCAAGTCTTTATCAGCCTCATTCAACAGCTGGCTATATGACAATGCCACATGTCAGGTGATCCACAACGAAAAACTCAGCGACGCGTTCGAAGTGCATAGAGGAGTAAGACAAAGCTGGCTGGCTACTGTTACCGATGATATTCTTAATTGTGGTTGACTGGATTATGCGCAGACTGTTTGGGGTCAGGAGTCAGGAATACTCTGGACCACCGATGAGAAGACTCTAGAAGATCTGGATTTCACAGACAATATATGTCTAATGTCACACAGACTCAAAGATCTACAGGAGAAAACCAATAAACTGGCTGAAGAGGTTGGCAGCGAAAACAGGACTGCAGGTGAACACAGAGAAGACTGGAGTGATGAAGATAACCAATCAACAGAAACAACAATCAGCACCAGTCACCATCAAAGTGAGAGATTTAACAGAGATTGCCTCCTTCACTTATCTGGGAAGCATCGTTTCAACTACAGGCCGTTGGAACGGATGAAGATGTCAAAGCCAGTCAGGATCGGAAAGGCGGGATACTCCTTCATCAATCTGAAACCAGTTTGGAAATCTTCCGCACTCAGCATAAGGAACAAGATTCGGATTTTCAACACCAATGTGAAGTCGGTCAGTTCTTCTATACGGGTCAGAAACTTGCACTGTGTGTCACCAAAAGCATTTCCAACAGCCTGCTGCACACTTTATCAACAGCTGCCTTCGCCGGCTCCATACTGAAGGTCAAATGCCCAGAAAGAATAAGCAACAAGAAATTATGGGGAAAAACCAACCAAGAGCTGATCGCTCAAAAAATATGTAGGAGAAAGTGAAGATGGATAGGGCATACATTGAGGAGGCCGCCGAATGATATCACACGCCACGCCCTCGAGTGGAATCCAAATTGGAAGTGACAAGTGGATCGTCCTAAGGTGACATGGACGAGATCGTGTCAGGAAGAGATGAGGGAGTTTGGTCAATCGTGGAGCGTGGCAGTAAACAGAAGAAAGTGGAGATGGATTGTTGAAGCCGTATGTTCCACTTAGAACTCAATGGAATAATAATATTTTATAATTCTAATTAAACGATTTTCAATTAGTTAACACATTTTTTGAATTAATTTCAATATATCACCACTACTAAACCTTTGAAGAGAGAGCAACTAATGATATACTTAGTTCAAATAAATACGGTTAGTTTTTGGGTTCATTAAAAATGGTGAGAACTTTATCGTCATACTGTAGGATTATAATCCCTGTCTGACCTTCTGATTAACATTCTGATTTTTGACATTTCTAAATATCTATGGGTCCACAGATTTCAGAAACTCTGTTGTTCCAGTTGTTTCGGGTTCATTTTCATTAGGAACATGAAAGTCATTCACTTCGATTTAAAAGTAAAACATCTTTAACAGATATAGTACGGTTAAAATTAACATTTACATATTTTGCAGTTCTACAGTCATTTTAACTGTTATTTTTAAAATACTGCCTGGTTATACACATATCCTGAGTCCTATTCAATGGACTGAAGCAGACCAGGTTGAAATTAACCACTGGTGGCGTGAATACTGACATGAATATTATTTCTTCAGGAGAATTTGTCCGTACCGTAATCCTGCTTCAGTATGTATTAGCTTTATCATGTATCATAGCAGTCATTATAATAGTCTTGATAAGTGATATGAGATAGTTGGAGGCAATCGGCGGGAAGCCTTAGACCTAGGTTTCGTGCTAGTTGGCACTCAACAGTCAACAAGGCGTATCCACAACCTCGAAGGAACTCATGTCCCTTCCGAGATTCGAACCCGCATCACCCAGTGAGTACTGCAGTCAGAGACGTTACCACTGAGCTATTAGCGACTAACCTCCTGTCGGACTGTAGTGAATATTTTGATTTGACACTAGTAACTAGTGTGATGTGTCTAGTCCTCTCTTTGGTGCAGACTGAATTCTATCAGTCAGTCTTGATAATTAGATTTCTCAAGTTGCAGCTATCATTTCGGATAAATATAAAAGTGCCCTAGATTTGACGTCACATGCTGACGGAATACGAATGTTGTCAGAAATTGCAATTAAAAGGGACAAGTTTAACTACTTGCAACTTCGAAATAACTTTTACGGGACTCCTTTCAACTAACTGCCTGTCCATTTTGAGTTGACAGTGAGGAAAATAGTCTAAATACGGTCCTTATACTGAAAATATAACACCGCTTATTAAAGAAATGCGAAGACTGAGGGTTACAAAACTTGAATAAGGCGGAAACGGTATAACATAGCAACGGATAAAAGTTATTACAGGTCATTCGAGCCCCCAAGAAGCAATAAGTGTGATGTCAGCAAGATGGTCTTTGGGGCGTATGACACGCCGATAAATAAACTTCGACACCGCCTGGACGAATATGCATAGTGGAACAATTAATGACCTCAGGTACTGGAGTGGAGCATTAAAAGTAACTTTTCAATTACAGAGGAAAGACTATAGTGATAGTAGAGACGATATGGTTTGGACAGATATGGTATATTAAGCGCTTCATAATTGTAGAATGAAGCTGTCACCTTACTAAAATTTAAGTAGGATCTATGGAATATATATGACGACTACACTTTTCCCAACTGGTGCTTGTCGATAAAAAGCCGGATAGACAAACAAATCACCCAGTAATTAGTATGTGATGACGATCGTCCTTCTTAACAGCCTAATAAACTCCAGTGTGGTATTAATTAGTATACAGGCATACCTGAGACTGACGGGACAGCTGTAAATCCTTTGTGTTCAGCTCATGGATGATAACATGAAGTTTGTATTTAGGAGGAAGATAATTAAACAGTTATGCATGCGTGGCAACAACACTCCTATTCAGGAAGCCTGGCATCATATTTAGTTTGTTGTGAAAATAATGATGATTGGTACGTCGTGCCACAGCGGTAGAATGCTTGTCAACGACGCATGTGGTTCGGTGTTCGATCGCCGACCGATGCACTCATTTCGCTGTCTTAGCCGATAATAAGACTGTTAAAGATGGAAGGTTGGGCATGAGGCTAGCAATCCCATCTCGTAAAATTAAACACCACTGCTACGGAAACTTCAAGCCTCTATCTTAAAAGCACTATAATTCACTAGGAAATAAAGGAACGAAAAAAAATTCACACGTTAGTATGTGGTGAGAGCTGGGTGCAAACTAAAATTGTAGACAGCAATTTACGTCAATGTTACGTCCCGAATAGGGGTCATGAAAAAAACAATGAAAAAGTTTAACCTTGAGGAACTCACCAACCAATCACAGCAGACTTAACGTGTGCAAAAACGATTCGCAGATATATGGCTTAACTTTCTGAGAAATGGTTACAAGCAGTACAGAATAGCCTTCAGCGAGAGAACAACCAATCAGAAGACGCTGCTTCTCCGCTGACAATAATGTACATAAAAGTCTACAAATATCTCTTGATTTTCTCAATAAACGATCTGCTGCCTCGCTCTTGCCTTCTATCGTTACAAGTAAATGTCACTGTAATTCTGCAGTTTCATCCGAACTAATCGAGGTAAGAAAATTGTTACTAGCGGGCTTTGAAAATGACAAAGAGTGAAAGCTACTCAAATGACTGTAAACATTGATGGGTGAAGAAAGCGAGAAAAACAGAAAGTCATCAGCATTAAACTACTTAGACCCGCTAGGAAAGTGGGGGTTAGAGAACGGGTTCTAAAAAGTCTCCGGAAAATGAAATGATCTTCGAGAAAGATGGGACTTTAATAACTCGTTAGGTGCGAGGAACAATTCAACTGGCCTACAGCCGTACTTAGGATCATCTTTAGTACCATCTTACTACTGATAGACATGAAACACAACAGACATACTCAAATTGTTCAGAAAACACTGTCTTTTCTAAGTGTCCTGTCCCCTAATGGGATAGCATCATCTATGTACTGGTAGCAACTTAATTATTCTGGTCAAGAGATGCAAAATGAAGTAGTCAGTATATATCAAATAGTAAAATTAGCATCAAATAACATTACATAACATAAAGAAAGAAAATAGTTCATCCATTCTCAGTAAAATAAAATAACATGCAACAACATAAACTGAAACATATACGATGAAATAATAGCTGTACGAAAAATGAATCCACAAGATTTCTCGTGTAAAAAATGAATTAATACTGAACTTATTATAACTGTTAACCAGTTTAACAAGATCTCTAATATATCGCAGTTAAATATTTCCATTTCTTCTTGAACATACACAACAAATTCTTTCTGAAGATGCAAATCGTGTGCTGAAATACTGACTCCGTTGTCTATAACATACATGCCTGCTATGTGTTGCATAATTGTTGCCAATATTGTTTACACTGCATTTAGGACATTCAATGAAATGTAATACTCCAGGAGAGGAGAATATATCTGATTGATTCGATTTAATGTTAACATTTGATTTACTTGATTGATCTGTTTGTGGAGTGCTACATGCTGGTGTATTCGAGAAAATATACATACCATGATGTAGACAAGTAGTGATACGATGAAGACAATCCCCAGGGCATGTATCAATAAAATGACAGAGGACACATTTAGCATTGGGTAAACTGGTTGTCTTTATTGGGTGTTTATGCAACTCATAGGATGAATAACATTTTGTAAAGGCTTCTTCACATGTTGATTTGTGCATATAACTTGATTTATACCTTTCTGAAGTGGAACAACTACAAGCACTAGTACTACTACTACTAATATTTCGAAATGCAGAGTAAACTGGTGATACTATAGCATGGAAATGATTCGCATCCGGTGGATTCATTTTCGTATCCAAGCTTTCTATACTATAATATTTATTATATATTGGACATTGAAAATGTTCTACATTTCTATATTGATAAAATTTCTTCTTCTCGTTAACTTTATCATCATTATCTGTTTGTGTAGAAGTATCACATTGATAATAGGTACTCGTGAAAGATGGTTTCTGTAAAGTCGACTGTTTATCAATGGTGACAATCTCCTTTTCTCTAGAAATATTACCTATTTTTAACTGATTTTTAATGAATAACAATGTGTCATTCTTTAATATTACGGGAGGATGTTGTTTATCTCTTTCTACGCAGAGATTGGAATGTTGTTCATGCCTTTCACACAGTTGATTTGGTATTAATGATACTGTCGCCAGCCTCTGAACAAATTCTTCCATTTTAGATATAAGTAGTGTCTGTGGAATAGTGTTATACAGTTTAGAAGAATTCAATGGTTTCAATGGCTTAAGTGATGTACATGCCTTTTCATAGCGTTTTGAACAGTTTTTGATCGATGTAGAATATAATTGTCTGCATAAGACACTTTCATAGTAATTTACAGGATTCGGTATGTTTGTATTTGTTTTTTCATTAATGCTATTTAGAGAACAACAATGTTCTGGACTGAGGTTTGAAGATCTTTGTAGACAGCACGATGAAGTGATAATTTCTTCATTTGTTCTGTTATACATATCACCAGCATATGTTGTATAATCGATATGACTTATACTGTCATTCACACTTTTGTTCGATGTATCCTCATAATATTTATGATTGTATGTAAGCGGAGCATTTGGAATCATCGCTTGGTCATCATACTTTTCACTTATTCGTGAAATACGACTATATTCGATTGGATTCAGTCGATTCGATTCATATAAGGGTATTAACTTTTCAGGAAACAGCCTCACTTGTTCATCAACATTAATTGTACTTGTGATAGAAGTATCCTCATATTCCAGTGCTGATGTTTCAATTCTTCGATGCCTTGATTGATTCTTTAAATCACCTAGATTTGATAGAGTACTTATATTTGTATCCATAGTTTGAATATTACTCATATCATAATCTGTTTCTAATGATTTAGTCACATCACCAGTGCATAATTTATTTTCAATATTCTCTAATGATGGACTATAAATATACTTAGTATTGAAAATTGGTGCAAACTGGGGTTTCTCCACTTGAATTTCATGTTTAACTAATCTTGTCGATAAATAACGTACATCTATGGGTAGAGAGGTATACAATAGCCCACTATCAGAAGATGAATTACATTTCTGTGTAAGCTGAATTTTTTTATCATGCCTATCAGTATTTGATGCGTCTAATAATACTCTAGGACTTTTAGGCTTTATAAGCATATCACTAGTTGTATGCACACTGTGTAATTTGTCTAAATAAGGTGGAAATCCTATTGTTGACGTAGTAGTATAACAGTTATCTGAATGAAGTATATTACTAACAGTAAAAGTATTCGTACTAGTACTGATATCAGAATTTAATTCATCATAAAAATCTGTTAATAAACTATTATTATGCAACGGGTACGGGAAATGAAATTGTACATTGATACAAACATTGCCTAAATTTTCATTATTCAATAAATTATATTTTATAGGTTTTATATCACTATTACACATATTATTATAAGGTCGTTGTGATTTCGACTTGGCTATTTCATCAGCGCAACCAGACATCAGGGTATATGAGTCGACAGTAGATTCTGATGAAAATGATGAAGATGGTGTTAATGAGGGCGGTAATGGTGAGGATAATGAAGAGGAGGATGTTGGTGAGGGGAACTCGTTCCCCTTGTGAATATTTATGCCATTTGTCAACTCAAAATGATTATCATATAAACTAGGAGAACAAGATGTTAAATCCTCGTCAACAAGGAATTCGTCAAATTTCACTGATGATGATTTGCTTGTGAACATAACAATTTTAATAATAATAATTCAATTTTCCAGTCTTTAATTTCATACTTTTTGCGCATGGTACTTAAATAATATCAGTAGTAATAAATATTTTGTTTAATAAATAAGTAAGTAATCCTACATTCTCCGTTTGAATTTACATCGAGATTTTTGACTAAATTGACGAATGGAATAGAAGAACTGATATTTTCAATTCACAAACTATTTACTTCTCACTAGGCATTAACATATTACTTATAATATAGTATTAATTCA